GACCTTACCCACTCTCATGGCCTTTAGGAAAGCTGTTAAAACCTGGCTGTTACGGCAGGCCTGGGGCTGTTGACCTTAGTGTTAATGTCCAGCCCCAATCAGAAATCTATGCGTGTTGGGAATTTTTAAATTATTCTTTTATTTTGCTTCTCTTTTTTCTTTTTTCTTTCTTTGTAAGCCGCCCGGAATCTTCCGGGATTGGGCGGCCTAGAAATTTAACAAACAAACAAACAAACAAACAAACAAATAAGGCAAGTGCCCTCTGCTCATTGCCTGCTTTCCCATTTCTCCCGTGGCCCAGTTTTGAACAACCCGTGGCCCGGGAGTGGGCCACAGACCCAGGTCGTTGGGGACCCCTGGCCTTTAGGCCGCACGATTCAGACAAATGGCCCTACGACGGTTCTTTGCGGAAGAAGGAAGCCAGAATCCTTGAAAAGAGCGATAGCGTTTTTTGTGCTGAGCTCAGGTACTGAGCTCATACGCGGAGGATCTGATAGCCGCCCGGTTAATGTGTCACCGAGCAAGGCAGGAATATTCGATCATAATTACGCAACCGTCTTTGCTTTTCTTCCCAGGAACAATAAAAGCCATAAAAAGTGAGACATTTATGGCCCAGAACCTATTATTATTATTAAGCTCAGCTGATACTGCTTAGCTCACCTGTTCTGTTCTCAGGTGGCTATTTCACCTGTTTTAACTCTTTGCACGGCCTCTCGTACGAGTTTGCCACCGACCGGCACTTCTCAGCACTCTTCCCAGGGTCTCTGATGTGCACTGAGTGTGGCTGAATGAGTTTCATTTACAGGGAGTCCGGTTCGTTTAGCGTCCGTCGAAAGTTACGACGGCACTGGGGGGGGAAAAACGTGACTTGGAACCGTTTTTCCAAGTGATGGATTTCGCAGCCTCCTTTACGATCGCGGGATCAAAATTCGGATGCTTGGAGACGGGTTCATATTTATGACGGTGGCAGCGTCCCGGGGTCACGTCGTCCCGTTTCGCGACCTTCTGACCAGCAAAGCCAGTTAGGGAAGCCAGATTCACATAAAAACGGGGTGACTAACTTGTCGACGGAAGTGATTCGCTTACTTAGATAACGGTGGCGAGGAAGGTCATAAAATGGGGCAAAGGGCACTTTAACAAATGGCTCGCTTAGCAACAGAAATGTTGGGCTCACTCCACAGACATTTCGGTCATAAGTCGAGGACTACCTGTACAAGTGGAGGAAAGAAGGCAGCGCCTGGCAAAATTAAGCCAGGTGGCTTCCAGCCATTGGAGTCTTTAGCCAATGACTGGGCAAATGGGAAGCCACTGGTGCCCTCAGAGCTTGGCGGTTTCACTGCAGACGTTTCCTGACCCAACTAGGTAACGTCATCAATGCTAAAAGGGAGGGGGATTGGCTCTTTGTTTATATACAATATAACCCCGCTTTCTTTTAGCGTTGATGATGTTTCCTCGTTGGGTGATGAAACCTCTGCTAAAAACCCCAACCAAACTCAAACAGCACCAAGGACCTCACTGTCCTCCCCCCCCTCCCCACTCCCCACAATCAATCCCCACTCCCTTGTAGCACTGATGATGTTACCTAACTGGGTAAATGAAATGTCTGCAAGAAAACAGCCGAGCTGCAGCACCAAGGACCCCACAGTTCAACCCTGAACTCCACAAACGGAGGAGATCAGGATCCGAATCAGAACGGAGCTGGAGGGGACCTTGGAGGTCCTCTAGTCCAGCCCCTGCTCACTCAGGAGATGCTGTATCATTTCAGACAAGGGATGAGGTCTGCAGATGGGTATCGGGGTCCCAAGTAGGACCACTCCCCAACGAAAGAAGACCCCCGAAGCTTGAGTTTCCTCAAAGCTCCATTTTATTCGAGATGTCATATTGGCACATCTGGGAAAAGCCGAATCTGAAAGCTCCCAGGATTTCCCCACTCAAGTAAAAGCCCAAGCCCTTCCCCAGCACCCTCATGCCCATCCCATGGCCCAATCAATGCCCCGTTCCCAACTGTCACGCCACTCGAGAGGCAGGGCAAGATGTCCTTGACTCTCTGAGAAAGGAACCTTATTATGACTAGATATCTCCCGTACAAGGGTGGTTCCGTGGCTCAGACGCTGAGCTAGTCGATCAGAAAGGTCGGAGTTCGGCGGTTCGAATCCCTAGCGCCGTGTAACAGAGTGAGCTCCCGTGACTTGTATTGTATTGTATTGTATTTTATTATTTGTATGCCGCCCTTCTCCGGGAGGACTCAGGGCGGCAAACAATTCAAAAGGGGGAAAAGGGGAACATAAAAACGAAATA